AAATCGATCTGATTGAGATTAGGGCTGAGAAAAGGAAAACCTCTGGTTTGCAATTGTAGTCCACTTATTTTTTGAACAAACAGTCTAGGTGTTTCTGATTGTTGACTGGGTTGCATAACGAATCCTGACCCAATAAGTCTTCTCCCCGTGGAAACCACTAAGTTAGCAGGAAGCGTGTTACGACCTATTCCTTTAAGGATTCTATCAATTATGTGTAATAGAGAAACACTCCGCGACTGCTATAAGGAGTTTAAACACATTTTGTCGAACTGATTTCTGAACTGCTTAAGGTTAGAAGAACTGGAAAAAGCCTTCTCAGGCACATTGTTTATCGATACCCTAGGCAAAGAGTAGTTATATCAAGAGAAGCCGACCGTACATTCTTTGTACTGATATGATACGATAAAAGCTAGCCACATCTTACGTATCTTGATACAAAATTCCTGATTTATGCACCTCTCCATCACCAAGACCATTACGGAAGTGTATCCATGCTTCTTGGATGGAATCATGCAGTTGGATATCGCTGTTTTGCGAACCAGGTATAATGCATGATTTTCAATAGTTACCGAAAATATCCAAGTAAGATTCGTATGACTAGAACACATTTTAGGCGTCTTCTGATTTTGGTCCACTGAGGTCATATTCCCATTTTTTTTTTGTCGAAAGTGACGACGCCAAGGTCGGTCTCGCCTGGAGAATCAAAATTTACTTGTTCTTCGGGAAGTATTCAAAATCGAGAGTAGCGATGCTCAGCTGTATGATCCTAACTGTGAAGCAGGAACAAACACGTAGTGTTCATCACAGAAAGTTTATTCAATATTGTCTCTCTAATTCTTAATGGAAAAGATGATTGTTCACCGAGAGGTTCTCGCAAAGAGAAGACCTACAGGAACAAGATTCGTTGTACGATCGAAAAACGATCAGCATTGATACGAACTTGATCAACGAGTCAAAGAAGTATTCATCTAATAAATAAAACGCCGAAACAACTTGAAAAAGACGTAAGACCAACTTGAATAAAACTATTCTCGAAAAGTTCGTAAAGATAATGCTAAGAACTATCCAAGGGTAGTAAGTGAATAGAAGATCCTTCTACCAAAAACATGTATATATAAATATAGCCTGTGCCTTATAAGCGTTTCCTATCATTATTTGAGGATAAATATTATCAATAATCGTATTATATTAATATATTATAAGCCTGCATAACTCTCCTTTCACTACTTTTCTCAGTGTCCAGAAACGTTTGAACGGTGTCTATTTCTGTAACAGATATTGTTCTAATTATGTTGATTGGCCATTTGTTTCTTCCCACATAAAACATTTTTCAAAAAACCATATTCATGCTCTTTTATGAGGGTATGAATAGCATTCAAGATGCTAAATATACCAGAAATACATATAAACTAAAATGAGCAACACTGACACATTAAAAAATCATTAAAAAATCGAAAATATTTAATTAGTTTTATAGATTATAAATGTTACAATAATAGCTCATTACCAGTATGTTTACATGTACAATTAGAACAAGTAATCACTGACTTTTTAGTTTAACTCGAATAAAAATGTTTATTGATCATTTGATCGTATAGTTTTACATCAGATTTTGAACTAAAAATAAAAATTTACAAAAGTGCCCATATGCTGTAACTTTTAAGCAGTTCGCATGCACATCTTATGTACATTTTATACGATATTTTCTTGAATTCAGAAAGGCCATGATCTTCCAAAATAAACTACTGAACGAATTTGTATTTAAAACTAAATTGAGGATAAATGAGGTTTTTTTTTGTTATCAAAGCTAGACCCTTTTCCAATCAATTCATATTCCACTCTACCCTACAGCCCAAAAATATAAAGATGGGAAATGATCAAGTTGTTCGTGAAACAAACAAAAGAGAGCACAGTAACAAATCAAAGCCTTCTACGATAAACAGACCAGTATCCGTCATGTTATATACGTACATATAAAAAAGTAGCCAAAACTCTATGTATCACGGTCAGGCAATCTCTTAACTAGATCTGACAAAATCCACCGAAAACAGTAACTAAAAAATACCAAAAAACATAAGTTGCTTGATAATAAAACTGACAAGTGTTGTGGTGGCAAAATAACGTCAAAACAACACGTGTGAAGCGAAAGAAAGTGGACATTAAGGATATTTTATTATGACAAGCTCATTTCTGTCGATATGACAATAGAATAATTTAATGCTTAACGCTTTTCAAGTTAGCTAGCTGAAATTTGGGGTGATGAAATTGATGCTTATGAATACTATATTTTAGCGAAACGCAAAAAGTTGCCGGTTGGCCGAAATCTTGGAAAATTTTTTGAATGCTATGTGATATCTACCTCATTTTGCCGATTCTTATAAGTACTCTATAGAATAATAAATAGCTTTCAAAATAGCTGATTTAAATGTTTTGGTTGAGCGTTTTCGTAAAACAAATCCCTATAGTGTTAAATCAATATTCTATTGGAAGAATCTATCCGACTATGTAATAAAATGTAGGGCATTTCACTGAAAAAATAATTAAACCGATCAATTTTCGGAATGTCAAATATTTTAACGCACATTCAGATGAACCCTTCCAAAAGAAAATTGATAGCGTTTTGATGACTATTCGTTGGATTATCAGTGATTTAATGTGCATAAACGCACAAAATTTAACAACCCGCCAGCTTGTCTTTTTGGAATAAGTTTTATACTCTATCTAAATTTGCATCAGTCACTTTTACGTTAAAACATGGTATTTATGCATCAATTTCATCACCCCTAAATTCAATTTGCTAACTTGACCCGTATAAGTAATAAGGATGCCGTATTTCAAAAAATTTACATATTTTCGAGATATAAAAAATATTGTTACTTTTAATAATATATTTACCTCAATTGATTCAGGTCGGGAGAAGATTAACTTTATTCTTAGAACTGTTTAATATCACTATACCAAATTACATTATATTAATTTTTCTGACCTAAAACTGAGGATGTTTGTCTTTTTCTTTCAAGCTGAAAATTTCGAAGCTTTTTATACAGCATCAAGATATAGATATGGATCAAAGATACATCTAGATTACATGCTAGATGTAAATGTAAATTACAAAAAATAAAAAAGTCTATCGGAATACGACAGCAACGACGCCGAATCACCACCGTGATCACTTGATCGAGTCGATTCTGACGATATAGTAGATGATACTGCTTTTCAATGACGAGTAGTCCATCATATACTATACCGCCAGAATCGTCAGCCTCTAGCGGTCACAGTGGTGACCATTCTAGTAATAGATGGCACTTGCGCACTTATACCTCGGATAGATGATACTCTACTGTGCTTTAGTCCGAGATGAAGCCTAAACCGAAATCATATCGACATATATTTTGAGCAATAGGAGCTAAATCATAATAAGGGTACCCTAACAAACATAAATATAAGTGGAAGTGCTACCGGTTAGTCACTAAAGCCAGCAAGCCAGCCACACGGGGGTAGTTTTGACCTTTTTTACCGGGGAGGGACGGGACAGGCCAGTGCTACACGTAGATAGCTAAGTATCCTTTAAAAATACACATCCTGCGTTCTATACCACCACTAACACCACTATTTCGAAAAAAAAGTGAGGTTATGTCACTCTCCATCGAAAAGTAAGATTAAGGCACTTTCCTCTGATGAATAGAGGGGTTACATCCCTTCCCTTCCAAGGAAAGTCAGGTTACGTCAGATCCTTTCCAAGGAAAGTGAGGCTACGTTAGTTCATTTCCAAGGAAAGTGGGGTTACGTTACTTCCTTTCCAAGGAAAGTGAGATTATGTCACTCACCTTCCAAGAAAGTGAGGTTATGTTACTTGGCTTCGAAGAAAAGTGAGGTTATATCGCTTCACTCTGCTTCGAAAAGTGAGGTTATGTGGTATCGAACCAAATGTAGCGAGCGAAGATTGCAGCTCATCGGTATCTCTATTCACTGTAGAAGCAGTCGAAACGTGAGGGTTACTAACATTAACTTGTTTTAACAAATTCTCAAAAAAGTCCATAAAATGCAAGAAACTTTTATATCGATTAAAATATGTTTTCTATGGCCTATGATGATGAAAAATTTAATGAAGGCCGTTCTATTTATTTATGTATTGTTAATCCGATTTTTGAGCTACCTAAAGTTATCAGAACTGGGAAAAGCCTCCCAGGTAAATTGTTCCACAATCTCGATGGCTTAGGAGCAACGGAGCAATCGTACCCGCCAGTTCTGGATGTACGAACTTGGACATAGTTCGGATGGAAGCCAGGCGGGTCTGTCTGACAGACTCAACGCGCGGCGGCATCTTGGACAACTCTGAGAAGCAAATCCCGTTGTCAAAGCGGTAGAAGAGCCATATCGCCAACCGCCCGTCTATCCGTTAAAGAAGTGTCATGGAACAGTCGGACTGTCCTCATCTGAACAGCATCGAGTATGGATAATGCAGTCGAGGCAGCAGGGCGGGTTTTATATGGACCTTGTACAGAGTACAAGTACTTCTTGGCGACAAATAACCTAACTTTTTCCCGGCAGCTGTTGCGACTGACGAGATGTGTTCGTGCCAAATCAAGTTCTTAGTGATCTGGACTCCGATCAGTCTACACAAATAGCTCTTTGGTAGAACTCAGCCATCCATCGAAATCGGATGAGCGCTAGGGCGCTTCTTGTTTTCAAGGTACAATACTGTTTTAGAATCATTGCACTGTAACAGATTGTTGCGTTTCCAATCAGTGACTGACTTGGCGACAGGAACTAATTGAGGAATTCCATTTCTTGGAGTATCGTGACCCATAAGCAACATTATGAAATATGGAGTGAAAAACGCACTTTTGTTTCTTACATGAGGCTGAGAGTTGAATAAAACAACAGTTTTGAAAGATACCGTTGGTGCTGCAATCACGATCGATCTTAGGAACCTAAACAGATGAATGTTGTTGTAGATTGTTTGAGGTAGTAAAATAAAAAAATAGTCTCATGCACACCTCTATTTTTCTTCCCTCAACCACGGTGCCATGTAGTCGGTCTCGTGCGCGCTCCGCATCAGCACTATTTGCGAATGTTACAAAACCGAAACCCTGCATGCAAAGACAGACAACACATGCATTGTAATGTAATATAAACAGCTGCAGATTTCAAACTCGTGCAATGACATGATGACGTTAGACAGACGCTGCTTTTTGATCAGTCGATCATAACTGGTCGCAAAAGGGACCTTCCTCACTCGAGCGTCATAGCTAAATTTCTAGCAACCATAGTCAAACTAAGCTATTAGGCATCAGGCGAGGCAAAAATTTGCATTCGTGGTAGAAAATGTTCAGCTCAATTTTTGTTCATTATCACGTTTGTTGGATGCCCTTCATCAGTTTGCTGGCAGATAAGCCGATACAAGGTTTTAATAATGCTTTTAAGCAAATTACAAAAAATAAACAAGCTGTTCGCCTGCTTCTATACCACCACAGTGGCTGTCAAATGCGGTCTGAGGTCTTTACAGTACCAACCTATAGCTAGTATGCACTCTCGCAGTGGTCGATTCTGGTCATAGATAGATCTCATACATCCGATAGAGGATAGTTGTTATGCTTTCGTTCATTGTTCAAGAAACCAAGCCTAGACCATACTGATGACTTGCCAGAAAGCACAAATCAGCTGTTCATGGTTGGCTGTCTTTGGTCGGAGAGACGACAGCAACATGTTTAGTTGTTCAATGGTTAATAGACCACATCTACTATACCGCCAGAATCGCCAGCCTCTAGCGGTCACAGTGGTAATTGGGCTATCAAACGCGAACTGAGAATCTTTACAGCTCCAACCGATAGCTGCTACACACTCTAGCAGTGGTCGATTCTAGTAACAGATGGCGCTTTGCGCTGTCTTATTTCGAAAAATTTGTTTTTCGCTCCGTACGAAGTTTCACGCAGTTTCTTGGATTATTCTGAACAAAAATGGTCCGTGGTAGCTATTGTCTAAATAAGACGGTTTTAGAGTTATAGGCAATTAAAAATTTGAAAACCTCTAAGAAAGCCGATTTTTAATACTGAAAACCTCGGTCAAAAATCGTGAATCCGAAATACATACCAACTTGATTATAATATATATCCATTTATTTTTGTTGTTTGTAGATTTTATTTTGAATCCGGATAATAAATGGTACAGGATGGCATAGAAAATAGATTTAAAAAACCATAAAATGTCAATTTTTTCAAACACTATCAATTTGCAAAGACGCAACCTAATACAGAATTAACCTTAAGCGGATTTCATTTGAAACAATTATATTGACTCTTTGGGTGTTCTAACATCTAATTTTCATTCTCTTTTTTACCACCCTGTTCTATGATACAAATTCGGAATAAAATCTACTAAAATAGGTTTCCTACTATAAGACAGCCGTCACAAATTATATGGCAAAGGCAAAAATACGATAAAAAATTGTTTTAATCCATTTGCCTACATTTGTCACATGTTACGTAAATTTGAGATGTTCAAAAACGGTTAGTCTTGGGGCCTTAGGGCCGTATTGTCAGTCATTCCTACAATAATAATTGTAGGACGCCTTTATGGCCTCCTTGATTTTCATAGTTTTTTCTCTTTCAGAAACGCTGGGGAATTTCTAGATTTGCTACTGTTCCGTGTCAGCGTCAGCGATCTCCTACTGTGAGGCTAGGTTTTCTTTTTGAATTGTTGGAAATTTCGGGCTGATATAACAAATTCATAAATCAAAAGCATGAACAATTTGATGCATATAGATATTTGTGACATAACCACAAAATAGAGCACTGGCACAGAACAGTAGAAAAGTATGAAAATCAAGGAGGCCATAAAGGCGTCCTACAATTATTATAGGATGCGTTTATGGCTTCCTTGATATTCATGTTTTTTCCTGTCCTTCAGAAATGCGCTCTATTTTGAGGTTATGTTCCAAATATCTATTTCCATCGAATCGTTCATGCTTTCGGTTTTTTATCATCTGTTTTATCAGCCTAAAATTTCTTACAATTCATTAAAAAGGGAGAACGCTGTCGCTGACACGGAATAGAGGATATCTAGAAATACCCCAGCTTTTCTGAACGAGAGAAAAGGCAATGAAACTCAAGGAGGCCATAAAGGCGTCCTACTATAGGAAAGACTGACGATACGGTCCTTAGGTAGAATGACATACAAAATGTATTTAGAATCCCGCATAGAATCCAACAATTGAATAATATACAGAATGTTCTACATATTTAAAATAAGCAAGCGGGTATCTACTTCCAGTACAACAGATGACACCATTTTGAAATAATTCAGCCTAATTGCTCCAATCAGTTATACCAAAAACCCAATTTTTCATAAGGTCTTGCGACAAATTTTTGATCAAACCTCTAAAATTATAACTTAAACCTAAGTTGTTGAGATTTGAAAATGACTTTCAAAACTAAATTCTTATACACTGAAATTGTACAGCTTTAGAGAAATGTTACTAGATGATAGTTCTTTGCTCAGAATGATCCATAAAACCTAAACAACTTCAATCCGGAGCAAAAAAAAACCTTTTTTGAAAACCTGTTCAGAAATTGCTTAGACAATGTTGCATCGGGTTGCCGCCCGGCGATCTCTTGATTGACTGGCGTGACGTTACGGAAATGCCATATATTCCAGTAGGTTAGTTTGGCTACGAATGCTAACGACGTCGCCATGGTCTCCCGGTGAGGAAGGGCTCAGAGATACATGCGTTTTTCTGCGCACGCTTTGACCCGAAAAAATTATACCCCAGCCGGTTTTAGGGTACGACGATCATGAAGCCAAATACACATGCGCGTAATTGTTAGCGATTTTTGAGCAAACCGACTTCGGTAACGTGTACTTGGCTTGATTTCACTAACAAAAGTGAGTATAGAGATATGTATGTCTGACGAGTGATGAAACAATCGATTTAATTTTTATCATATACTAACAGCAAATAAGTATAACAGTTATTAACTATAAAATGTTTCACTACTAGTATTACTGAACTATAACATGATCACATTGCATCCAAGGTCCTGAAATGTTTTCTGGGTGTAAAAATTTGAAAAGAATAACATGTGTACTCAAAAGCTTGGCATAATAAAATAGTGAAACAATGAGAAAAATGAAATATGGGAAAGAATAACCAAGCTTTGTAAGCTCCACATAAGAGTGGGTTAATGTTTTTTTTTTAGAATGCGTCTGCCTCGGCAGAGAACGTGTGCAGCATGAAGTTGTTCATTAGATAACCGTCGATATTAAACGTATGGTTAATGGTGCACGTTTCTAAAAAATAATACACATCAATACGTTATTGTAACAAAAATTATTTTTACGTTGAAAACCAACTGCATTCTACAACCGGTCGGAATTCCAACCAGAAGCAGTCAGACTGGCTCCGCAAGAAATTCCTAGCACTGGTGTAAGTTAGATCTTTCTGAGACAGAAGTGAAATCTATCTTTAAAGGACAATACCCATTTTGTATCGAATTTTCTTGCCAACCTTTCTTTCTTCTGAAACAGCATCTCATTGGGATCAACAAATTATAAGACATCGAAGATAGAGAACCAGAGAAAAATATAAAGAGTCAATGTAAAAAACGAATAGTTATTATCTCGAGAACGGCCATTCATTAAAAGGAAAAAGCTGTCCAAACTGATGCATTTCTTCAGGGTGTTTTATTCTCTGACGCAAAAAAGTTTTTGTTGTTACACAACAAAAAACTAGGCTCTAAATAAAGGCATTTTGGATGATGCTATGTTATCTCCACAGCTGATCAATGTAATGCAAGGGTGTACTAGCAGTGAAACAACTAATACTGTATGTCATAGAAATATCTGGCGGTATTTAAATGGTATAAAAAACAAAAATTATTTCCAATTTCTAAGCACCTACCTGCTACTGAAGCTTAAGGTGATACAAGTCTTCCACGATTCAAAGCAATCGATTATCCGGTCTTCTGGTAGAAGGTAGACTTTTTGCAAATTACTCAAACCAACACATTTGAGATCACCAAATTATCATACATCGTTTGCGAAAATAAATATTCACAACATTGCAAATAAATTATTCAACAAAAAAAAATTGCCTAATATCAACTTCTTATATAGTAATGATGAAAAATCCACAAAAAAATGTCAAACTATTTACCTTTTCTGTCTCAAGTGTTACTTTTCACGCCCACTTAAAAATTTAATTTTCGAGCAAATTTAAAGCAGTTATAAATAAAAAAAATTAAAATTATTAAATTCAAGTGCATAACATTCTAACCAAATTACGTAAGGTCATGTACACAGGTCATTTATGTTTTTCTTGGCATAATGTCTCTATGAAATATAGATTACACACCTGTTCAAGCAAGACTTTTTGGACTATGTATGTATTTTCATATTCTACATCAAGGCTACTTGTATTTTCGATCAAAATATGTTGTGACACCGCTCATCAGACCATCTCAAACTCATCATGTTGCAATATACATACAGTGTGTCTAAAATTAGTGACAACAGCATTGTAATTTCAGAACCAATCAAAGATAAGGAACTAGTCACATCGGAAAGGTAAAAATTATAATTGTGCGATTATTCCCAAATCCAATTTTAAGACCCTTTTAGCAACAGCTTCTAAGCAAAGAACACACAATCATTAATCAAAATAGCTTCTGAATATTTCTCCATTTGAACGATTTCTTTCTTGTAATCGACAATTTCAAAACTGTTGTATAAAAATTTCAAACACACTGCATAAGGCTCATCGTATACGTAATTATGGGGGAAGATTTAGTAGCGAGGTCCGATAAATAAGACCGATAGCACTCAAAGAATAAAAAGTGCAAAAAAGGACACAAATTTTGTTAAACCTATGACATCGTTGTAATGAAAAATGAGAAGAAAAAAACAGAAAAACGTGAATCTACTTCATTTTTACCCAACAGTCCAAACGGCTTGATGAATTTTGACACTTACGGTGTCCTCGAATTCGTCTTCATATCACAATTAAAACATTCTTATGAGTTACCGCAGTCGGCTTATTATATTTATTTATATTTTTAAAAATGAACTCAGGATAATTTTAGTCACTTGAAGTTTT